TAAGACATTTATCCAGCTTCAATGTGGAATTGAATTAAAGCATCACTTTCACCAGTTATTATAATGAACATTTGGTTCTAAAGTCTACATTTCAGCCATTGTTATAAGTCATAATGTGATGAAAGCGTGAGCCAATTTAAAATTCAAATACTGACTTCCAAATGCAAATCGCCTATGAATCATTTTGTTTGGATGTCTTTTCATTATTCTACTTTTAATTTTGCAGTTTTTCATCTATATTTCTCAATGTTTTCAACTGGTAAGTTTGTTTTTAATTATTTCCTTAGCCAATGAAGCAGAGGTGGAAACAAACAAAACAGGCTGTTTACGGAAGATTCACACACATTTCAGGAATACGATCGCTCCCAGATAAAATTCCAGCAGAACGCCAATGGATTCATTAAAATGAAATGCGAAAATTGTTATTCATCGGACAATTAATTGGGATCGCAACCAAGTTGCTGGTTACGGATATGATGGTTATCATTAAAACGTGCAATTTACATTTATTTCCGCCATTCACTCTTCGATTTGATAAATGAAGTAAAACTGCAAAATCCCAATATATTTATTATATATTAAAAAAAAACGTTTACTTTAGCGATCAAATTTGAACGATTATGAAAACTTAGACAGAGAGTGGAGAAATTGATCATTTTTCAACAGCACTAATTTTTAAGTTTGTACCTAAATGTAAAATATGCAGCGATTTAAAGAAGCTGCAACGTACTTTCAAAAGATAGCTTATTTTCTTTGCAGACAATGTTCATTTTCGACTTTTTCAAAATGAAAAATTGTTTGAGTTCGATTAAAAATAACCCAATCGAAATCATTATATTCTTAAATGAAAGAAAACGTGTTGCTGTTTATAATCAAATTTACTAGTATGTACAAAAATTAAAATTTCCACCTACTGTTTATAGAGTAAAGTCCATTTCTCCTCATGCTGCAGAAAAACAATAAAATATTCACTCATTTCACTGAAGCATTTCTGTGCTTCTATGTAAAGAGAAGATGTTTAAAATCCTATGCAAATTTGTTTTTTCAAAAAAGTTTGAAATAAAACTTCAAAAAAACAGCACACTTAAAAGCAATTTTCATGTTCTCTAGCATCGATTCCACCAAAGATAATTCGCTCTAATCATGACGCAATCCAGAGCAAACATCAATTTAAATTCCGCAATTATCTCGCCTATGAATTCCTGAAAGCATTTTTAACTCAGCAAAAAGACTTGATAGAAATGTATCTCGTTTGTCTGGTAAAGTAATCGTTAATGTTGCATCGGCTTAACAAACCTTTGTGGGTGTTTAAATTGCAACATTTTTGACTTGGCTATACACATGGCATTTCGGTGCAACTCGGTTTAAACACTTGCATTAACAAGATGCTCGTTTTACTGAAAAATGCAATGCAAAGCTTCATACCGTATTGGAATCAAACACGATCATATCCAGTTACATTTTGGCACTTATACAAGTGGCGACTCCTACATAAAGCACTTCTCATCGAAAGTTTACACAATCTCAACTTAAAACACTAATAAAATTGCCCGAGATAATCCCGAGAAATTCGCAATTGCATAGCGATTTTTCCCGCACCTGCAAGATAACAATTTACACTGAACCGCCTAAAAACACAAGCGCATAGATCCGTTCGATCGGTAAACAAATATGTTACTTGTAAAAAGCATTTAACTAAGAGAAGTACCGGCTTATTTATGGTATTATAAACACCTCGGCCATAATCTAGTAGAACTTAGCTTATTAATACGCGTTAAGAAACACGCGACGGAAATATCTACCGTTAGCGGTCTCGCAGGACTGACTAAAAAGTAAATTATTTTAAGAACTAATCAAGGTGTAATATGCAACATGACTAATGACAATGGATAATTCGTTGTTTTCGGAACTTTCTATAGGAATATTTAACTAATGGCTTGCAGCTTATTCATGCAATCGTGCAGTTACCACTGAGAACGCAGTTTCCTCAACGGATCTAAGGATTTTATTCGAAATTCAGCTCTTGCCTGTACCCATTGGCCTATTAACACCGTTAATTAAGCTGCAATCTTCTTGGAAGAACCTGCTTCAGGTTCTCAGTATAATAATGGCGTAACGCAACTTTCGAGAGATGTATAACACTTGGTAGAAAATAAGCTGATGTTTCAAACCAGTGTCAAAAACTCGTGAAATAGTTATTAAAAGTTAGTATTATAAGACGATGAGAAGAAACAAAAAATAATAATGTCATTGTCGTATTTTATACTGAAAAGCTAGAAATAGCAGAAAAGTTCATACGACAGAAAAAAGTTACACATAAGTTAACGCTCAAATTACTGTAAGACTAATTGTGAAATGCATTAAATATATCTGGATACAGAGCAATGTTCCAATAGTTTACTTGTTTCACAAGGTTCTTAACTTACTTTTGACAAAATTCCCTTTACCTCTGTAAAGATAATTTAAAGAGAATTAAGAGAGCATTTAAAAAAATGTAAATATTTTTTTTTATCTCTATTAAGAAATTGAAGCCATATAATGTGTAAGTAAAAGTACAAGGAAGGTTTACAATGGGCGGATAAAGTGGCAAGTCAATGGGAAGCGGAAACAGATAAAACTACATAAGTATCTTTAAATAACATTCCTAGAAGAAATCCAATAGATACCAGTAACTATTAGACATATTAAACCATCTTGTCAAACCTCTCTATTAATATTGTTAAGTACAAAAGAATAAAAAATTAATATAATATATTACAATATAATCAATTAATATCATCCACAGTTAAAATGAAACTGGGTGTTTGTGTACACTCGACGCATCGGCATATTGAAGCTTAAAATATTTTGTCGGTTATATCCATGCAAATACGCATATTTTGTTGTTGAAATATATATTTTTTAAATGTAAAAAAATGTTATTCCTTCTGGATAAATTTTATAAAAAAATGATAAAGGCACCCTTTAAGAAATAAAAACACAGTGGTGATGGATGGTTGTTGGCTTGGCACAACACAAACTTTAGAGATAGTTTAATGTGGAAGTTGTGCCGGGACTTTCGGGCACGACACTGACTTTTTGCCAAAAACTAAATAATTTTAGTTTTTAAAAACAATTTCAAACAAACAAGTTTAGACTGTTTTTTTTTGGGTCCAAACCAGTGTTGTATCCAAAGGGTGCCGAACATCTTCTACTGCGCTTAATTACTTTTCAGATTTACTCCTAAAGTATTTTTTTTATTAGAAACAGGTTTTTTAATTGCGGTTTATAGTAGCTTTTGAACTCGCATAATCATCACAATTTTTATAGATAGGTGAAATCAGAGAGAAGAATGCATAATAGAGCATTTTCCAAACCTCATCAACATAAAAAACCGATTTTGCGGCAAAAGCGTCTGAAAATTTTAATTTACATTTTGGTTGACAACAAAAAATACATTTAAAAATAAACATTTTCCAGTCCAAGTCCAATAAAAATTATTTTTGATGTTAAAATTGAAAACTCTAATTGCAGTTTTCCACGGATATCTCCGAAGCTCATTTGAAATTTAAAATATAAAATTTATGCACAAATTTAAGATTATGCTCAACACTTTATTTTACTCTTTATTTTTTATTTGTAAAGAACTGTACACTATAAACAATTTTTTCCATAAAATTCGTTGAAGATCGGAGAAAAATTGGACAAAGAAGATCGAAATAAAAGTTGTAGAAAACATAAAGAACCGCACAAGAAAAACCCAAATCAAAACTGTGTTTTTCCAGTGAATTGAAATATATAGCCTATAAATGCGGAATTTATGTATAAAGATTTGTGTAAAAACCTACGTTTCATTTGTGCAAACTCAAAAACAATGTATTAACGCAAAATCCATTAAAATGAAAGATAAAACATTCAACTACGTGAATGTAGTAATTTTATAGTATTTGTTTAACACCTGAAAAAACAATCTCTTTCTATATTGCAAAAATCAACTCAATTTTGCCACGGATTTAAAAGTAAAATAACAGCAAGAAGCTTTGAGAGATCACAGAGCAAAAAAGTAAATTTACAGAAGTAGCAAGAAGGAAAAATACAAAACATCAAACAAAAGCATGAATTAAAACAATGTAAACCTTGAGATCAAGACAAAGCATAATCTAAACCAAATTTTCAATAGCTTACAAGTAACAAACTGAAACTTTTAAAACTCAATGCGATCGTGGGATGGCAAAGAAATAGCAAAAAATTAGTCCGATTAGTTGCGATAAACAACCATTCCAGTCAAGTAAACTTAATTATTTAGGTCAAAGACGCCAAATGTTCATTTAGGGTCTATTTCAAATATCGACAAATCCCCAAGAACTCCTCAAATACCACAAGCAAATTTGCAAATTTCTTTTTTTTTCATACAAATAACCACTTTTTCCAATAGGTTTTATGAACTGAAACCGGTCATCAACAACGCTAATGCTTCCTAAACTATGTTGACCAAAACCGACTTTCAAACCACTAACAATAAAAGCAAATCTGCTTTTAAAGGCAAACTCAACAAGGAACAATGATAGTGCTTTCAACGTTTGTTTGGAAAAAATAAATATTCCGAATTACACAACAGACAGAACAGGTGCAAACCAGCAGGACAAACACAACGATAAGCTTCGAGCAAATGGTTTATTCATCATCGTTTGCTTCGAATGATTTTGCTCGATGCGATATACTTCAACAAAAGTCAACAACTCATTAAACCAATAAATATTGCATAAGACCCGGAGATCTCTCTCTATGTGACTCTGTCGAGTTTCCGCATATACAACTTAAAAATAATCAGGCCCCTTAGAGGGCTAAAAATAACCGCAACCGACACATTTAGTGTTCGACTAAGTGTTCTTTTTTCCAGAAAATCGTCGTCGCTCAGCGATAAATGGCGATTTAAGAAGCCTAAAATTAGATAGCGGCATGCTCTAGTCGAGAGCAACACATGGACAAAAATTGTTCAAGAAAAAAGAAATAAAACTCACTTGACTTTCGTAATCGCAGCCAGCAACATCATGCTGCTCAACAGCACCAGCTTCCAACAGCAATCTCAGCACTTTCTGATCGGTTGGCAAAAACGCTCCGAAATTCACACCGGCCATTTCATTTCCTTCCAGCAAACATTCCTCCACATTACAACCGCTGTTTATCAGCCACAAAACGGTTAGCGTATGCAAGTCCAGTATGGGATGTTGCTGAGTCTTGGACAGAGCGCCCTCCAACATAGTGCAAGAAGTAGCTGTGTTGTTGAGCGACGAAGCTGTGTTTGTATAATCGGTGACTAGGAGATTGTTTTCGCAGCTGGTGGTCATTAGCTGATTCGATACCTCAACGCTTTTGGTAATCTTGAAAGAAGAACAGAGAACATTGAAAGATTATTTTATGAAGATTAACCAAGATATTTCACATTTCATTACATTAAGTTTCATTTAAAAACATAACATTTTTTACCCCACTGAAAGAATTTTGTGCATTTTAAATGCTTTTTTGCGAGAAATAAATTTTATTTTTAAGCGCCTTTTTCGACAATTTTAGGGTTTTTAATCCGGACTCTCGTTATTAAATTATTCAATTAGAAATTTAAGCCATCATTGTGCATTATTAATGTTTCGTGAAAAAAACTGAGTGTACAATCAATTGTCCGAGCTTAACAGCTGTTTATAGACATTTTGTTTGAAATACACTTTTGCTCACTGGACTGTTAAAGATTACTAATCACGTAAAATAAATTTGTAAAATCATAAAAAACACTTGCTTATTCGCACATTCACATTAGGAAATGTATATCTAAGCTTGTTAACCAATCAGGAAACGCAGCCATAGTAATTTCACATAATTGGCTAATCAAAGACAATAACAGATGTAGAACAGAAGTGATAAAAATATTAAAAATTGTCATTAAGGTAAGTTAATTTGGCTTTTACATGTGGAGTGAATCAGACCTGCATATTTCCTTTGTAACTCGTTGTGACTAATTAAAGCGCAATTAATTAAAAAGTTAAAAAATTTACAAGTTCTCAACAGTTTCAACCATCGATACCTTCATGGAGTAAAATTTTTAAAACTTCAATTGGTAGATAAATTTTACGCTAAAATTGAATATAAGCAAGATTTATAGCACCTGCCTTCTGACTATCTAAAACCACAACGCTCATAGCTGGAAATGCCCATCTGGCAGACAACTAACAAATGCTCTAAGATAACCATTAAAATGAATTCCTTACCTGGTTTGATGTTTTCTTTAGCTTATTCACTTCAGCATAAATCGGATTCTTCTCCGACTCCGGACTCTTCAAATGGACGCTGTCAAAGTGCTCCTCCAACTTGGTCTCGAAATTAACATCATCCAAGTTATTCTGACTAGTTTCCGTATCCGCAAAGCTACTTTCCAAGTTTTCAATATTATTCAGCTCATAAGCCAATTCGTTTTCATACGATTTGGTCAATTCCTGAAAAAATCCCATCGAAATCATTGAAAAATCCACGCATTAATCTGTAGAGCCTCACCTGCAAGGCTTTCAAATCCGAATAAATCTCAGTGGAAGTTTTATCTAGGGAATTGCCAGCTTTCTCCTGCGACAGCTTATACATGAACGTAGGGCACTTCTGACTAGGCTTTTCGTTTAAAAACTGTTCCATTCGTGTGAGATGAAAGGCGTAATCGTAGATTTCTTGATTGTTCAGCACCTTGGCGTGAAGAGTGTAATACATGGCAAGAATGCAGTGTCCGTGGAAAATGTTGCATAGGTATTTTTGCGTGCAATGTTTTATATCTAAAAGCCACTCGGCAAACGAATGGTGAAACAGTCGAATTGTGCCATTCTTGGAGATCACAACGACTTTCTTCAGCAAATGGAACCTTTTGCGGAAATCTTCTATGGTAATCTTGGAGTTGTTTACCTTCACGATATCAAACAATAGGGACTCGTTTAGAGCACATTTAGCGGCTAGAATCACGTTTAAGAGTGGTTGGACTTTAGCAAATTGTCTTCTGTTAAACAACCTCTGGCACAGCCACAAGTACAAGCCATTTAACGTTCCAGGGATTTCTCTAACTTCCCTCAAAACGATAAAACTCTCTGCTACGCCGTCCAATACTTTCTCGAGATATAAAAAACATCCGTTGCTCTTAATATGTAGTTGATTAAGCATTTCGGCCGTGTCTCTACTTATGTGCTGTCTTAAGCTATTCTCCTGGTCCAGCCTGGCTAGAATGTATTGCTGAACGTCTCGAACCACTTGAGCTTTCCTGAGGTCGTCCAAACTCAGTTTTCTAAACCCAGTAAACATCTTGGCAATGCTTTTGGATTGTTTCTTTGCTGTGCAAACCAACAAAAGCCATTGCGGGAATAGATGGTGATGGTTGGCAAGTAACTCGGCTATCGTGCGTGATTGCGAGCTTCTTTCGCGAGGTTTAGAGCGCGTTAGGGTGGAGTTAGAATAAATAAACGAATGCTCGTCAATGGAATCAATGATTATAAACAACGACGTTTTAGGAGGATCTATTTCCAGAAGGGGGAATAGTAACGCTCTTTTCAGACAATCGTCCGGATTGCTTTCAATGTTCTTCGCTCGCAGAGCGATCTGAATCTCCGGATCTGATTTCAGCTTTTCCAAATACGCATCTGCAATTACTGTGCGAGGATTAATTGGCATATTAGGAATTGGAGCTGGATCAGGCACTTTTTTGGCTTCCAATGTCGGGGACAGGAGATTTTCCGAGTAAACATTACTATAAAGACTCTCCTGCGGCAGGTTGCAGTTCTCAGACAGATTTTTATCATAGGAAGTATTCTTTGGGCTCACTGTTTCACCTTGTTCTTTGGCCTGCGCTATTTTCCTCCTCATGCTTCGCTCTTTATGACTTTCGGTCGAGTGATTCAAAATTTGCGTAACCAATGATCGCACAAATTCACTCAACGACAGACTTTTCTCATTATGGCCTTGCAAGAAGTGATAACACAGCAATCGACGATTCAAGGTCCGTTGCTGTCGGCCTGAAGGTCCTTGTGAAGGCCAGCAAAGTTCTGAACAAAACGTGGTCTTTCCACATCCAGAACTTCCCAACAAAAGAGCTCCGCATGTCTTTGACACTGGCCTTTGATCCAGACAGTGGAGAAGCTTCTGAAAGGCCCACTCCCGACAGTAAAACTTCTTTCTATCTTCCGCCATTCTAAGCAACTTTCAACAATTCTCTTTGCGTGCAAAAAATACTCTAACTTATTTGTCAGCAGGACGCCAATAGGGGTTACAATCTTTCTCAAGTAGTAACAGTTCCAGTCTTATACGTTTTGCCAGTTTAGGTGGGTATATGAATTTATTAGTAAGCTCACTACATCTTTATATGCTGGTGGAAATTACCTTTCTCCCAAAATATTGAACTTTGCGAGTTTTATGCGAATGGTTTGGATCGATGCCATAATATTTGCTTATCCTATGAACCTTCAGCTGGAAAATAAAGTTTCAGTTAAATCAAATGAAAAAAATGCAACTTGGCAAATATTTTGACGAATTTTATAGCTGATACATTTCTTTACTGTTTTCCGTTTTCAACAACGCAACTAATTGAAATTCCCGGTTTTTTGAATTCCAGTTGCAATAACTTTGTAGCCCATAACATTTCATGAAATCAATATATTTTTCATTCAGAATTATTAACATAAAAAATAAATCAATCGACGGATATTTTGCAACATTCCGGATCGGTTACAATGTTAACGCAAAATACATAAAGATTGAAATTATTCTGCGATTATTTCGAGCAAAAATAATCCAGTTAAATAATAAGAGCTAGAAGTCTGATGCAATGTGTTTAACTGACCCTGACCCAAGAACTTGCTCAATGATATCAGCTGAACATGTTTGACAAATATTTGTGATTCTAAACGTATTTAAGATGCAACGAATATGATAAAAGGAATTTTCAAATAAATCATCATTACATAATTATAAATAAGGAAATGGACAGGAATAGTTGTGCCAAGAACAATGTTTGATTATCATTCCCCAAAACAATTTGATTAAATTGTGTGCGAATGAACATATAGTAGATGTGGCCACTATTTTCATATCGAATTTACGTTTTAAAAAGTACAATGAAGTATTTCAGGCAATGCATGACTGACAAGCTTAATTTTCACTATTCCTGCCATTGATTCGTAACTTTATCTTAAATTCCTTTCTAAGTAGTACGTGACTTTCTCGCTGACTCTTATTACAGTTACTTTCCATTAATGCTAAACAATTCTGCATAGTCCTGCCATATAATTTTGATGATCACTAATAAAATAAAAAACCTGACTTATTTGTAATAAACAATTTGTAAATATACAGAATAGTGTAAGTTGCTAAGCCTTAAAGGCAGTTTGTTATGCACGTAATTATGTAATAAAGTCTATTAGCCAACCAGGGCAGACTATATTCTCATAATTAAATGCAAGGATTTATTAAGACAAATTAGGCGTAGCAACAATGATTTATTAAACTATTCAAGACAAGTTCACATGGGATGCAAATTAAAATTTTAAGGTCAGTGAGATGAGTCATGTTTATTCAAAAAAGGAGAGTTTGTTTCGATTTGAAATACAACCACTTGACACCCTTAAATAAGCACCAGTAGGGGGCCATTTCGCCAATGTTATTTATTTAAATTGTCGAAAACCACTAATTGAACACTTTGCAACAATACCAAACGAAAAAAACATGTTTGTTTTACTTTCTAACTGAGGTAAAACCTATCAATTGTTGTACTCTGCTTAACGCTTATCGTTGCTTCGATTAAATTGAAGTTAAACAGATTGTTTATATAGTTTAATTTATTATTTTCGAATAAATAAAGGATAAAATTATCCGTGACTTTGGAGGCTCTGAAACACCCACCTATTTCGCGAATATCAAAAATATACAGTCTCATGCATCAGCTTACCTATTTTGACTAAGTTAACGCACTTCGAACTAAAAAACCTTAAAAACTAAAACACTTTAATAAAAAATTTCGCTTTATTTATGCACTTTTTGCCATAAATATTTTTGGTTATGACAAAATTGATTGTCAACACAGTGCTTAAATGTCATCATCAGATGGCGGGCTGCGAGAAATCATCTTTGACACTATATGGCGCTTAATTCAAAATTTAGCACTTTGTCAAAACTTTACCGTCATTTGCAGTCAAAATTTACAGTAAAAAGATTTTTTTGAAGAAAACTAAGAAAGTTTTAAGTTTGTAAACATGTCGTGTGCGCGTTGCGGATCTGGAATATACAAAACCGAAGATTTTATATCTTTGAACAAGGTTTGGCACACCAGTTGCTTTACTTGCTGTAAGTTGGTTCGATTTAAATAATTTCAGCCCATTTTGAGCCTTGAAAGCCATTAATTGCGATTAATTTCATGTTTAAAGCTTTCATGCCGCTGCCATCTATTCTCGTCGCTTGAAACCAGGCGAAAATGTATTGCGCTAATCATTTCGGCTACGCCAGTCTTTCGCAAGCTTTAAGCGTATGCCACAAGGGCCCGGTTTGGATTTGTATACAGGGTGCCCCATAAGCACATTATCCACATTATCAAATGGCTCTGCTACATTCTGTGGCTCAAAACAAGACAATCAGGCCTAACTTTATATAATGAAAAACTGTCTAGCTCCCATGCGGTTTAAAAGCAAAATTCTTCAAAAATATTTTTGATTTCTTATATCTGAAGAATTATCAGATGGATAGATGGACAATTTTTGAGTGCCTTGGTACAAAAACTTGCATATCTTTTTATGTTTTAATTAAACAATAGTTCTTTCCCGATATTTTTGTGCTCTTGGTAAAATCTTGTAGGGTTCACAGTTTTTGCACAAACAAACATTTTTTCTTTACTTTACATTTGCAGTCAGTGTTTGAAATTGTTGAATAGCAAGGAAATATAAATAATTGGGTTGCACGAAATCTATGAGCGCTAGAAAAGTTCGCTGAGAACACGAAAATATCTTTAAAGAGTTCATGGTTAATAGAAACAAAAAATCAATAGTAGCAACGAAAAAGTTTTGCAAGTTTTGCACCAAGATACTCAAGAATTTACTACTGGCTCAATGTTGATGAACGAATTTGATCAAAATTTGAGCCTTACGTAGGAACAGATCCACAGCAAGTTTCATTGAGAACCATTGCAAAGATACCCATTTATTACAAACAAAGAAAAATCCGAGAATCTTTGCATATCAATAGCAGGGAAGACAGACATTTTTTTTTAAATAAGTCTTAGGTCCGATCGTTTTCCTTTGAGCGAAAAACTTTAGCCGTTCTAGTTTTATACAAATTTCAGTGCCCTAAAAAGTTTTTTCTTGCAAAAAAACTTGAGTTTTTTTGTTGAAACTAGTAAATTTCATTTTTGGTTCAATTAGTTCATGTTAAAAAATAGTTCAATTGTATTTCGTAATTATTTTCTTCATTCCAGTGCGTGATCTTAAAAGGAATATATATTTTTATTTTGTTCCGCACTGGCTTTCTGCGGCCAACAAAAGCACATTGCTGTGAACCATTCATTACGAACTTTTCTAATTTTTTCGCAGCATTAACGATTAACAAGCATTAAATCTATTAACGTGTTTTTTCCCATTTCCCACTTTTGATTGCGAAAAAGGCAACCAATATTGAGAGGTCAAACTTAAAAATGTTTAAATTCATCTACTTTTGCAAAAAGCTCCAATCGAACAAATACTGCTGCACAACTTAAAATTTTACTAGTTTAATCTTTAAAACAATCACTCAGGACAACTGGAATAAAAAAATAATATTTTTTTTCTGTACGGAGATCAGAACAAGAATCAGACCCGCTGATTCAGATTTTCAAATTTAATGCAAATAAAATTGACCAAACTTGTACTTATTCAATTACTTAAGGATCAGCAAAACAATTTTGAAATTACAGACAATTCGATTAAAAAATAGACAAACCCTCATATACTCACCGAAACCCCTGTAAATGTTGATAAATTTATTGTGTCACTGTGTGTCAAAATTTCAGTTAATTTCGTTTTTCATCTATTTCCTCCGTTTATTTTAAATTTTGCTTTGTTTAGTTCAGTGTAATAAAGGGCTAAACAAAGACACCGCGAAAATATTCCAAGGGGAGCTGTTTTGCGAATGTTGCTACACTAGCGTCATTGAAAAGCTTTTTGAGGTAAGCTCTAAATAGCCGAATCTTAGTATTGGGTGAAACTAAATCTAAATAACTTGGGCAAAATAAATTTTCAGGTAATTTCGTCGCCTTCTCTCAATAAGCCTTGCAAGGTACTTTCAACGCCTAGTTGCGCCCTTAGCAAGACATTCGTGCAGAAATTGGCGACTTGCACCAACCGAACTTGTTGCGAGACGAAAGAGTACTGTTTTCCTGCTGAAAAACCCGTGGTAAAACGTAAAAGGGAGTTAAAAACAGTGAGGTGAGATGAGGGTTTTCTAGGTTTGTCCGTCCAGAAAAGTTCACTCATGCAGCTGCATTCCGAGCGAGAATTTTGCGAAAAATGAGTATTGTTTCATTTTTCCTATTCCAAGAGAAGTGGCCAATTATTATAATAGGGCGCACATGAGGGCAAAAGCTAAGTAAGAAGAAATCATACAAATATATATTAAGAGTTGATTGGTAAAGTAGAGGCAGGAAATGTTCACTAAAATTTTAATTGGATGTGGTTGGAAAAAATGAATCTTAACACAATTTTTTAGCCTTAATTTAAAATAATGACACTCTTTCAACTAATTTTTGGAAAATTTTTATCCCTTGTCTAAGTTATGATTGTTTTAAAAATACTTATTAGTTTCTTCGTTTGCGTGTTATCTCTCGTAATTTCGATTTTATCCCGTTATTTACATTTTACTTTTCAGTATCTGTCTTCACTTATAAGTCGCAATATTTCAGAAATTGTTGGCAAAAAGTTATAAAATATAGGTATTTCATAATGCTTTCAGGCATTTAGGCAGTCGTGGAAAATAATTTCGTTCTGATGTCTAGTGAGCACGAGTGCATCTTGTAAAAACCCGAAAAACCCAACAGATTTTCTCTCCTAATCTCTGGTTCATAATATTCTTACAACTTTTTAACATATTTTATGCTTATCATAGGTCACCAGTATTCCATACATTTAAATAGTTAATTTGGTTTTGTTCTTGCCTCTTACCTGAAGATTGTGAAGCTAGATTAAGGTTTTTCATATAGTTTCTTTTCTTTGCCAGCGTTATCTTTCGTCTCGCGTTGATTTCTCTTTCTTTGTAAAGATTTGCTCACTGAAAAACACGGAAAGGTAATTTATAAAAATTTTTTGGGTGATTACTCTGTCAGTTTTGTTTTGTTAAAATGTTCTCAGTTACTTCAGATATTAAAATGTAATTACATAAGTTTCAAGAGCAATCATATTTAATTTAACTCATTCAATTAATATTGTTGGGCACATTTCGGTTTTCCAGCAGAACATTGAAAAAAAAACAGAAAAAAATAATTTGTTAACAATCACATATGATAATTAAAAATTAAAACTCCGTACGGTTTATCTCTCCGTGGGGCATTTTTATCTGTCTAAACATTACAATACATTTTTCTCCCATAATTTTTTTTTCAATATCCGTCTTTTCATTTTACAATCGCATTCATTGACGTTCCTGTTTTAGGATTTTCTAATTTTTTTTCAAGAATCGTCAAGCTTTACAAATGTTTATCTAAAAGTGTGTTTAAAAAAGTTTCTGAATCAGGTCACTTTTTCACTGTTTCAAGTTTTATTACGTGAAATTTTACGTTTGATTCCAACTTAGAAATCCGGTACTTTGCAATTCGAACCCAAGATGTCCAGCGTGCAGTTGCAAGAGAACATGTAATGAGCCACCAAAATGTTCCATTCAGGTTCGGGCATTGAAAAACCAATGTGACTGCAAAAGTTGCCAAAAACAGCCGGTGTAAGAGTCTATTCTATTCTATGAAAGGACATGTTTTTACGACCACCAAAGCGATTTTTTTACTCTCCAGATGCAACACACCAAAGAGATGTTGCTGCTTCAAATCACCTGACTCCTGCCCGCCCATTTTCACCACTGGTTGCAGTTGCTGCCTTCCATCGGAGCCAGAATGTTTTAAACCATGCTCCCCAAGGTGCCTCCATTAACCATCTAATTTTTTTGCTGGCAAAGCACCTGAAAGTTTTAGCCCGCCTTCGGCACGTTCTTCAGCTCCAGCTTGCCAATGTTACCAAAAACACTCATGCAAACCTTGCTACCCTCCATGTAACTACTGCCAGAAAAAATGCTGTTCACCACCCAAATGTGCTCCAGCTAGGCCTTGCCCTCCCGCCAAGTGCTGCCCGCCGAAAAAATGCCTTCAGAAGATGGAAGGTTGCTGCCAAGAGGTAAAAACGTGGCTTTTAAAGCAAACACGTTCCAGCTTTTCCAGTGTTTTAGACCCCAAAATATTGCTGCAAAACTCCGCCTCCCACATGCTGTCTCCGAACTGCTAAGTATTGTGTGTGCGGGAATTTGAATCCTTGCAACTGCAAAATGGCACAAATCAGAGCACAGTGTGTTGTGTGTTGCAAAAGATGTGACCAAAAGGTACTGAACGTTAAGAACAAGGTTTAGCAGACGAAGGAAACTGAGTTTCCAGGTATATGCGGCTGAAAAGGTTCTGGTGTCGTCTGGAGCTTATCACAATAGCTGTTTCACATGCTACTGTTGCAGCAAATGTTTGGACGTGAAAAATGTTTACGAGGGATGCGGTGAAATCTACTGCAAACGTAAGTTGTCTAGATGCAGGAAAGATGGTTTGTTTGAAAATTTAGTGATTTTTCAGAATGCTACAACCACTTCTTTGGTATCCAGTATTACGGCTTTGGAGGGCCCAATTGCTAAGTTAGCTACTTTGAAGGGATTCATTTGTATTGTGTTCAAATTAAAATCACTTAAATCTAACATCGTTTTGCGTTGTTGCTGTATGACCCGAAAAATTCAGAAACTGTTTTGAACCACATATTTGGTTTGTCTTTAAACTTTTGGTATTGCAACCCAACTAAAAGCATGCCAAACTTTCCAAAATTTTGGTTTTTTTCATTTGCGACTCTGTCGAAAACTCGTCTAAAATGCTTAATTTCTATTAAAATACCGACTAATAAAGAACAAATATCGCTAAATAACAATTCAAACAGACACCAAATCGCTTGAAGTAATCAAAATTGATGCAGTTCCAAAGTTAGAACAAATTTGGCCTTTAGGTTAAAAAAAATACTGCTTTTATTTCAAATTATTTGATATTGTCTTATATGACTTTATTTTAATTTTAATGTTCTAAACTAGTTGACGCACAATCTTATCATGCAAGATCGGCATGAAATTCTAAACAGAATTAATCAAACTACTTCTATGGTAGAAAATTCGATTTGGTCGTGTAGTGAAAGACATATTTTTGCGTTTTGACTATTCATTCAATCGTCTGAATGGTTCCACTCATCAACTAAAATATCCGTAGAGTAAAGTTAACAAATTAAATTGCAAACAAGAACTGTATTAATGGAAGTGTGAAGTCAGAAAATAGTTCCCTCTATTGCTTTTTTGATGTTGTAAAATTAGTAAAAGTTTGCTTTGATTTGCATGTAATGTTCGTTGTTGAAGTGTACTTTCGTAAAACCTTTCCTTGTCCTTTAAAACTTCCTGACCGGAAAACCGCAGGTAACAATGATATTTATAACTTTTCGGTTAATGTGTCGAAGTGCTTCATCCTGCATAAAAAATATATTTTGAGGTTTTTTCTAAATATTATCCTTGTTTGTTTTTCTAGTGTGGAATTGCCTACGTAATTCGTTAACATTTGCCGGTTTTTGTCTTGAATATCTCGATGAGCGATTTTTTGTGGATTTTTTCGTGAATACTCGTGAATTTCGTGAAGTACTCCTTTTTAACTGTTTTTACAGGTTTTGTACATTCATAATAAGCAAAATTTGAAAACAATCCTTGAAAGACAAAAGAAAATATTTTAAAAATGTTTTAAAACTCTAAATTTAAGGAACTTATTTATTATTCTCCTAATAAGGAACGGTCCTTATTAGCGATCAATAAAGAGTTAGTTTCCGTCAAGAATAAATAATACTTTAATGATGCCTAATAGGAAAACATCATGTATTTATTTAGAACTTGCGGCATAAAGGGCAGATTCACATTTGAAACAGGTAAATATTTGTGAACGCTTTCCGCTCATTGAGTGCTTTGAAGAAATAGTGAAAAATTTAAACTAAATAAAAATTTACAAATAATACTGGCAGAGATTTTCTCATTATTTTATTAAGTTGTACTTCATCTGAATATAAAATTTTATATTATCTTCATAGTCAGAAAGCTCTAAATAAAGTATGGTTTATTCGTTTATTGCAGCCTTTTATAGAAGCCGTTAAATCAGAATTTCAATAAATTGCACATACATAATATAAACAACAACGAATCAATCTCCAGTCAGAACTTTTTAAATATTTAAGTTTTCAACAAGGAAATTTGAGCTGCATATCAGTTGCATTATACTTTAGGCAAATAAAAAATATTCCATTGCAAAACAGCGTTTGATGATTTGAATTGAATATTTTATTTAAAACAGTACCTACTGAAGAAAGCTTTTGAAAGAAAAATAAATATGAGAATATGGGAAATTTTCAAAAGCGAAAACAAATTGAATTTGCAATGGTTAAAATTCGCTGAAGCATTAAGACTTAAATAAACATAAATTTGAGCCCTAAATTTGTGAAAAACAGTGAGATTCAGCGACCAACATCAGTTTCGTCTATCGTCATTAGACACAGAACTTTTCAATTAAAATCTACCAATTTGGCGTCATAAAGCTCTCAAGCTTCCAAAAAAATAAATATGTCTTCCAATACCTTCCGCAGATTAAATAACGAGTGAATTCAGAATTCAGAACAGGAATACTGTATCGGATACTTTATCATCATTAATAACAATATGCAAGGGCAGATAATGGAAAGTAACAAAAAAGTTTTTGCCCTTTCGGCGTAAACTTCGTCGGAAGGGCGTGACCTCATGATGAATGGCCATAATTTCACCCTAAACCGCCCTACGTTCAATGAAATATATCCCTGCGGGTGCAAAATAATTGAATGATTATGTTCAATGTATATTTTTTGTTACTTTTCCGCATTTTTTACCCCAAATCTCTCTAACCGACCGTTGGGAATCAAACATTCATTTTATCGATACATTTTTACATTGTACTAAAAGGGGTGAATTCGAATAATATTTCTATAATTTTTTTGGATAGTTTTCTTCCTTGCCATTCCCTGGATATTCATGCCCAACTGGCCGCTTCCTTCGGCCTGGTTACGAAAAGTCTGATTAAAAATTTAATTATTCCGACAAAACAGCCTGATTGGGGTGGTGGAAATGCGCTTTTCAATTTCAATTAAATTTAAAAGCAAATGACAGGTTGGGTGCGACGCAAAAAGGACCGCGGCGCTTAGTAAAACTGAAAATGCTCGAAGTGCTGGCTTTTTTCCGAATCGGATATGTCAACTTTTCCAATGGAGATGAAGGGCCATTTAATTTGATATTGCGAAACAAGGGTTCAGACCTCATGGCGACAATTTTTCGGCAACTGCAAACGAAAGAGGATCAAACACTAATTATTAAACATTAATTTTTTCCTGGGTTTTCATTAGATAGGGTGTGTTTTCAACACGAATCAAATTTCAAACCAGATACAATTTCATACCAGAATTTTCGGTTAAGAGATATTATAAATATTAACGAAAATATCGCAGTTTGGAGAACAAAATATGTTTTCAAATTGCAACTTCCATAAAGCAGATTATACTAATCGTAACAAAGATCTGCAACCGATCTTCTGCCACCATGAATAATGTGCAAGCTTTAGATAAAGTTTTAAGCCCAAAAACTCGTCTAAACAGGCCGAATATTTCAATCTTCAAAGTGGTTTTAAATTTATAATTTGCTCACAAAAAATGTAGAAAAACGAACGCAGGAAAGTTAAAACAGAAAATGTTGCATTGATTTTTTATTTTTGCGCTTAAATTTTTACGTTAAACATGGAATAATTGAAGCAATCTATTTTCAAAACTTTCCACAGTCAGTGGTTTAAAGCGATAAGAAGAATATCCGACGTCAGATGCATTAAACCAATGGTTCTTCGCTTCAAAGTCATCCCAGATTAATTTTTGTTGCAGATTCGGCTTTTTGGGACAAATTCAGCATAAAATGAATCCCAAACCAAAGGGATTTTTTTCTTTAAAAAAATTGCAACCCTTTTGAAGGTTCTCAAGAATATTGATTTGAACAATAAAAATATAAAATGTCGAAACAATTGTGCTAAGTACGTATTTTTTAAGGTAGAAAATAGAAACAAAAAAAAATTGTAAAATATATTATAAACCAGCAATTAACAGTTAAAGAAAACATTCACTATGTGGAATTGCAAAGCCTGATGAAGTTTGACTGAGAAAAATATTGGAATTATTTTCAAAGTAAATCGATAAATAGCAACACAATATACAATGACAAATTTTCAGATTAAACGCCAATTTCTAGTTTGAGCTTAGTTTTTCCGTTTCCTATCAAAGTTTTCGCGTTGCAATTACGAAAATGTCGATTTCAATTTATTTACAGTGCTTTTCATTTCTAGCAACAATTTTTAAATTCTACAAACTGCAGGAGAATGCGAGATTTTTAATAAACCCAAACATTCTTTTGTAACTTAATTTTTCTACTCACTTGAAAAAAATCTTGTAAAACAGATGCCTAGAATCGTTAGTCTGTATATTAAAAATATTATCTAAAGCGACTAATTAACTTTCTAAATGTGACTTAAAATTCTGATTTTGGCGTAACTAATTTCTAGCACAAATCGTCCCAAAACAGCCGAAGAATGCAACAGAATTAAAATTCAAAGATTTTCTTCAGACTTCAATTGCCCAATAAAAATATAAAAAATAATAAGATCAAATGAATTAAACCAAGTGTTTTTGTACGTTTATCAACTGATAAATGTGCACACTTACGATGTCAAACGAGAGTATCTCTGTAACTCATCAATTTATCTAAAAAACACATTTTTGTTGCCCTATCATACAGGGTGATAACACCAGCATTAATGTAATTGTGCTGGTTGGTCCCTGGCGGACTCAAAGAGAAAAAGTAAGTTTCAAAGGTTTTGTTTTAAAAAGCTCTTGCTGCTATCTATCATATTAAAAAATTATCAAATTATACCAAGTGCTTAAAAAGTTATTTAATAAAAACCCTATTTTCAGCCTAGTTTTTCATGGGCCTAAATCTTTCTAGGAGAGTCTGTAGAATTTTTGTTAACAGAAAGCTCTCATGTTTTCTTTCCAATTTTATAACGTAATATTAAAATCGACACTAAACCTGCAAGAAGTAGAAGTATAATTATAAGCAAATTAATATACTTAATTACATGATTGCATAAATGTCTAGGAGGGTTTAGAAAATGCTATTTGGTCACTTATTTATCTTGCTGGTGAACGACGAATTTATAGCGGAAAAGACAAATTGAGCATAAACTAATAATTTGTATCAATTTGCTAAATTAAAAGGCGATGTTTTGGTACTGCCAAATGCAAAAATTTACTACGGGCCTAAAATCAGGCTGGGAATTTATTGAGAATATTTATCGTGTCGAAGGCAAGTTTAAATCCAAGAAACTGTGCATTCGATGAGAGCGCTTTGAGCAGAAAAGCAGTTGACAAATAATACTAAACAATAAAAAATTAAGAACTAAGCAAAATAAAGTGTAATGATAGAAGTGTTTTTCGCAATCACTTAACTGGCAAAACAAACGATCGCATGAACTTTAATGCGAGCACTAGAAACGATCCAAATAACATATTTCCTCCTTCATCAGAACCCTTCAGACCAGGAAAAACCCTAATGTTCTGGCAATT